CTGTTTCTGGGCCTTAGGTTAAATTATGAACGATTATAATGGACGCTGCCTCCCATTGGAGATTACTAGGGCCAGACGGAATCTGCTGACGTTTTTTGCTATTTCTGCAGAGAATTTTGGTCAGGGTTCAACGCTAAGGATTTTTTTCTACTGGTCCGATCGGGCAAGTGGTTTAGATTTTTACTTGCCCTGCCAAATTTTCACTGGCCCCACCAAAAAAAGGGAAGTTAATAGCTATTTTTAACCACATATTTTAAATAATGCGTCAAAAATAAAGTCTGTAAATCTAGAATTTCAGTACTTAAAAAACAATTGTTATGCTATGCAAACTAAAAGAGTAGTATGGAAAATGTGGAGGCATTTTATTGCAGTTTGAAATTATTTAACAAAAGGTGGCTGACTTGTCAAACTGACGGCAAACTGTGCATAACATCACTTCATTATTGTTTTGTCGTGTTGTTTCCATGTAAATGTCTACTTCCAACATGTTAGAGACATTTTCGTTTAGCCTTTTAATTTGGTGTTGCCGCCATGTTGCTGTTTCTACGCTGTACTGGTTGTTACCAGGTAAGAAAAAAAAAATAGCATGGTCAAATCAATCAGATAAGATGAATCGGAAAGCAATATGTTGTTTACGACATTACAGAGAAGGTAGCATTTAAAGATTTAAAAGCACAAACTTAAAATGCACGCAATTGACAAATAGTCACTGACAAATTAAATGTTAGTGACAAGGCAGCACTGTCCCAATCGGGCCAGTAATGATCCGGTCTACTGTCCCAAGTGTCTCTCACGCTGGCCCTAGGCCACCGGGCAGTCCTTATTGTTGAGCCCTGATGGTAAAAATTATTTTGGGAGTATCATAACTAAAACCTTAGTATATGAAATAAAAAATAATATCTTTTTAACTTTTATTTAATGTTTAAAATACAGATCCAATTAGATTAACTTTATTTGGTAAATAAAGAAAGTTTGTCATGTAATATATTTAGTACTTATCTAGACATAAAATATTACTGTATAAGCTGCATTGTACATAAATCAGATGAACATTTTCACATTAGTCAATAATATTACTGAAATTAATAAAAACTGAATAAATATAGATTTACACACATTTACTCAAGTAAATAAACAGAATTAATGATGGGCTAAAAATCTGCGTGCACAGATTCCAGGTGGGTCTATAGATTACTAACAGGTGCTGCTGTTCGACTACACACTCAAGTGTTTCCATCCTGGAAAACCTCAGAAAGTTTTGTACTTATGTATTTATTTGCTGCATTTTTTTCTAGTTAAGTGATTTAAATCTTGCTTAGCACTTTTTCTTTATATACAGCGGGGGGAATAAGTATTGAATATTTTCTAAAGTATTCCCATATATTTTAAAGATGCTCTTGACTTGAAACTTTCCCCAGATGTTAGAAATCCATATAGGCAAAACTAATTAGTTTACAAATGAAGTTCTGTGTAATAAAATGAAACGACGCAGGAAAAAAAAAAGTGTTGAACACATGAAATAAGGAAGGTGTAGCTCGGCAGTGAAAGCCCAGACAGCAGCTGAAATCTCTCAGTAGTCCTTCAGCAACCCTCTGCCCTTCATTAGTGTAGTAAATGACAAGTAAACATGATGGCTCGTTTCCACTGACTGGTGCAGAATGGTACGGTTCAGGTCAGTACGGGTCACCTTTGTCAGGCTTGATTTTCCACTACCAAGGGTACTCTTTTAGTGGGCGTGGTGTACTACAGAAAGTTTAAGTCAACGTCATTCTCACTCGAGAAAATGTCTACAGTAAAGCCATATACAGGTCGTTGACAAATCATATGAGAAGCACAAAACAGATGCTTTACACACATAAATACTTGTGTTTAAATGTTTACTTTTCTATCAACATGATTTGATTATAACTACAGATCAATAACAGCGTGAAATAGCCCACTGTAACGTCTGCAATTACATAAAATAAATAAATAAATGAACATATATGAGCACATGCAGACCCTTACAGTCTTTGATATGTTACCAACTACAAAAGAACTACACACAGCAGACATTTAGTCCTTATTTGGGTTCAAAAACAACACGCAATATAGCCCTGCAAACCTCTCATGTGTGTCTGTAATCTTCAGCAGCACATGTAGACTCTGTTAGAAAGGCATTCTGTCATTCCCAGTTCATAACAGCTCAGCGTGTACGTCGGCAGGCTCGAGATGCGGAGAGGGGTCGACCACGGCGACCGGTTTCGAGTCCGGGGAAGAGCAGTTCCAGCAATCAGGTAAGACGAAAACAGAATCCCAAAAATTAAGTGAACGAGTTTCGTGACGGTGAGAACGCGGCGAAATCCGAAAACGCGGTGGAATTTAAAAAAAAAATCAGGGCTTTTATTTTTTGGACGGCTTTTGTGAATTGTTGCTCGGGTTTAGGGAAGCGAGCGGGCGGGCGGGTCGATCGGTAAAATTGGTTGGGTTCGGGGAAGGAGGAGGGCGAGTCGGCCGATTGGCCGGGCGCGCAGTCAATCATCCGGTCAGTCAGACAGCGGCCCCCGGCGGGTTCACGCAAATGTTTGCGCCCGCGAGATGGGTCTGAGGTGCGAAAAAGCGCGCAACAGCGGCCTCTCGTGAAAACAAAAACTGCAGCCGTACGTACCTGCCGGGACGTATTCCGCGGTCTCCAGAAACGTCCGCGGGACTACATTTCCACGATGAGCCTCGGTTGAACATCAAGCACTGAGTTCAACTAAATGAACAACTAAAGGATAGAGTTGACCATGAAGACGGGGTTCGAGTCCGATGAAGAACGGTCCCAGAAAGCCACCACACAGCTATAGTAACATACAACAAATGTAAGTAGGTATTTTGGCCATGGTGTCAATACTGAAGTGCCATGTACAGTTATGATGCAATAAATCCATATTATTTTCCTCCTGGTAAAATGATGGTAACACAATGGATATTTGAGTAGGCAATACCATGTTTTTGGACATTTACCATAGTTAATTTCCAAATAACAACATCCAGAAATGTAAGTGGGTATTTTGGTATTGAAAAATAGTACACCCTGTAAGACTGAGACGAAAGCAACAAACTAAAAACAACATGTATTACCCCGTTTAAGACATTTACCATGGTAAATGTCCAAGTTTAGTGATAGTAGTATGCTATTTTACCATCACGCAGCTATAGTAAAACTTTGAGAAATGTAAGTGGGTATTTTGATCCGGTACAAAAGTGTTAGTGTATGATAATGTAATTTTACCGTGGTACTTACTGTACATTTAAGATGAATTGTTTTTGGATGTGCACCAAATACTGAAGTACCATGACATGATAAAAAAACACGCTGGTGCCATGCAAAGTTATGATGTCATGAGGAATAAGTTTATATTATATTCATCCTGCTTAAATGATGGTAACACAATGGAAATTTAAGTAGGTTATACTATGTTTTTGGACATTCACCATAGTAAATTTCCAAATAACAACATCTAGAAATGTAAGTGGGTATTTTGGTCTTGTATGATGGTGTTAGTGTATGATACTGTCATTTTACCATGGTACATACTGTAAGATCAAGTTGAAAGCAGCACACTGAAAAAAATGCACATTTACCATGGTAAATATTCATGTTTTGTGATAGTAGTATGCTGTTTTACCATCGCACAGCTAGTAAAACATTCAGAAATGTAAGTTGGTATTTTGGTCTTGTACAAAAGTGTTTGTGTATGATACTGTCATTTTACCATGGTACATTCTGTAAGTTTGAGATGAATGCAACAAAGAAAAAAAACATGTATTACTCCATTTTAGGACATTTACCATGGTATATTTTAACCATTGTACTGCTATGATAAAACATTCAGAAATGTAAGTGGGTATTTTGGTTATGCATGATGGTGTTAGTGTATGATACTGTCATTTTACCATGGTACATTCTGTAGGTTTGACATGAAATGTTTATGGACGTGTAACAAATATTGAAGTACCATGACATGAAAAAACAAGGTGGTGCCTTGGAAAGCTGGAAATACCATGTTTTTGGACATTTACCATGGCACATTTCCAACCATCACACTGCTGAAGTAAAACACCCAGTATTTACCATGTAAAGTTATGATGTCTTAAGAAATAAGTCCATATTATAGTCATCCAGCTAAAATGATTAACACATTGTAAATGTACATATCAACCATTGCACTGCTATAATAAAGCATCTAGAAATGCAAGTGGGTATTTGGGTCTTGTATGATGGTGTAAGTGTATGATACTGTGATTATACCATGGTACATACTGTAAGATTGAAATGAAAGCAACAAATAAAAAATAATTACATCTACCATGGTAAATTTCCAAGTTCTGTCATAGTAGTATGCTACTTTATCATCACACAGCGATAGTAAAGCATCAGCAAATGTAAGTGGGCATTTTGGTCTTGTACCATGGTGTCAATACTGAAGTACCATGACATGAAAAAACACGGTGGTGCCATGTAAAGTTGTGATGCAATAAATCCATATTATATTCATCCTGCTAAAATGATGGTGACACAATGGAAATTTGAGTAGGCGATGTTTTTGGACATTTACCATGGTACAGCATGAAGCAATGTAAGAGGGTATTTTGGTTTACACCATGGTGTTACTGTATAATATTGTCATTTTGCCAAGCTACATTCAGTAATATTGAGAAAAAGCAACAAAAACAAGTATTACCCTGCTTTAGGAAATTTACCATGGTAAATTTCCAAGTTTTGTCACAGTAGTATGTCATTTGATCATCACACAGCTGTATTTAAACATCAAGAGATGTAAATAGGTATTTAGTCTTGTACAATTGTGTTAGTGTGTGATACTGTCAATTTACCATGGTAAATACTGTACGTTTGAGATGAAATGTTTATGGACGTGTACTGAAGTACCATTTGAAAGTTATGGTTCCGTAATGAACAAGTCCTGCTAAAATGTTAATAACTCAATAGGCTGGTGTTTCCACGAAGATCTTACCTCTTGACCCGGATGATCTGGTCCCTCATGGGCTTGATGTCCTGGAAGCTCTGCTGGTTGACCAGGCTGTAGACCAGGATGAAGCCCTGCCCGTTCTTGATGTAGAGATCCCGCATGGACGCGAACTGCTCGGTGCCGGCCGTGTCCAGGATCTCCAGCACCGACGGCGACGAGTCCACCTCGATCTCCTTGCGGTAGAAGTCTTCGATGGTCGGGTCGTACTTCTCGATGAAGGTCCCGGTCACGAACTGCACGGTGAGCGCGGATTTGCCGACCCCTCCGCTGCCGAGCACCACCACCTTATACTCGCGCATTGCGCCGCGAGCGGATCCGACGAGACGCGCGCGTTGTGGAGCCCAGCTAACAGCGGTGTGACTCGCCTTGAATACTGCAGAAGTGGAGCAGACGCGGAGCCATGGCTGACTGTATTACAACGCTCACCACAGAGACAAATAACACAGGCGCACAAAGAGCCAATGCGCGGACTTCATGGCATCTGCAAGCGCCTATTAGAGCCAGACATCTGCTTGAAGATGTAACCTCTAGAAACGCGATGCGCGAGCATGTTTAGCTTGATGAAACGCGTAAAGATGAGCATTACGCGTCGCGTCAGCGCGTAATTTGGAGAGCTTTAAGGATACTGCTGCATTCCTGAATAGGAGATGCACGCTATTCTGCATCTTCCAGCATACTCAACCGCCATACTCTCGGGTGGAGACCTTCTGAAGCCACGGATCACGCATCTAGGATAGGAGTTTTGCAGCGGGATTGATGGATTGCGCGTGCAATAGGAGCGCTGTGAGCCACGCCTGTCGCTCTAAATAAGGCAATGTTGTGCGTTGTGGGCGGGACTTCCGCTTTTTGCATCAGCCACGCGACCAATGAGAGGCGGTGCCAAGGAGCGTGTCAATAAACGAAGCTGGGATGCTGTTCCTATGGCAACAGCGCGTCGCCTGCATCAGCACCTGAAATAGAAAGCAACAGGGATGCGGCCATTGTGTGCGCTGACGGAGGCTGAGCGTCTGCATCACTTCAGTCTGCAGTGCTTTAGATCTTTTTGCTCTGCTAGAAAGTCAACACTGCGTCTGTCGGTTTGTACATGAAACATGTTGCTCGAGCAGTGGAGGTTTTGTTATCTAACACAAAGACATTCAAACATTCCTGCAGCACATCCTTATGTAATCTCATACACAGATGAGTGTGTGTGTGTGTGTGTGTGTTATGCAGCGCTTCTTACCTCCTAAATTATCCATCTCCACATGTGGAGGTCTGCAGGTTTCATTAGAGAGCGACAGCAGACGTGAGTCTGGCTTGAGTTACATCAGTGGTAAATCATATCTATTATGCATCAGCAGTTCACTGGGTACACACACACACACACACACACACACACACACACACACACACACACACACACACACACATGGTATTGTAAGACTGTCATAATAAATGCACATGAAAAATGTTACATTCAAGTATATATTATTCACTTCATATTGTTCAGTGTTCAGTGTGTGTGGTTATTAGTCTCGGTGTACAAGCTCGGCACTTTAAACTAGCACACAGTTGGCTGTAAAAATATACAAAGACACTAATGATTGTGTACTCTCTGCTTTGTCTGTGTCCGAGTCGTACATGTACGGCTGAATGCTGATCCTCTCACTCATGTTGCTTCTCTCTGTCTGTTGCCAAACCGAGCAAGGGAGCTCTTGGCTCCGCCCCCTTGTTACATAGGGCGGGAATTTGAAACTAATTTTCATGTGAAGAAACACGCCCCTAAAACAGCGAGCTGTGTACACGCTCCCCAACATGACACTCTTGAACACATTATATTCAAAACATCTGAACTGTGTTTTGATCTGAACCTAAACTGGCACACTCAGAACAACCATAATAATAAATTATAAAAAAGGGGTAAAGTATGTGCCCTTTAAAAAACTGATAACATAAAAAAGCATAAAAGAGGTATGTGTATGTGTGTTTCCCTGTACTGGGTTGCAGCTGGAAGGGCATCCGCTGTGTAAAACATATGCTGAATTAGTTGCCGGTTCATCCCGCTGTGGAGTCCCCTGATTAATAACGAGACTATAAGATAAGGGAAAACAAATGAACATAAAGCAAAATTAAGGCGCGTTTAAAACAATTTAAGACCTGCAAGACAACATTTCAGTGACTTTAAGACCTTTTAAGACCTGTTTTTGGACATTTAGGACATTTTAAGACCCCGCGGACACCCTGTAAAACTACTAATGAACAGCTCATATCTTAACAAGAGGCAGGTAAGGAGTAGGCCCACATGGATTCTACTCACGCAGAAATCCCCAGATTTTTAGCCTAGCATTGAGTCTATTTATTTACTTGTGTAAATTTATATTTATTCAGTTTTAATTTCATGAATATTTTTGTGATATAATAATAATAATAATAATAATAATAATAATAATAATAATAATAATAAAATGCTCATTTGATTCATTTACAATACAGTTTATAAGTTATATTTTCTGTCTTACTGTCTGGTATTTTACAGTTGAAGTCAGAATTATTAGCCCCATTTATTATTTTTTTCCCCGTTTTCTGTTTATTGGAGAGCAGATTTGTTATGGACATTTCTAATCATAATAGTTTTAATAACTCATCTCTAATAACTGATTTATTTTATCTTTGTCATGATGACAGTAAATAATATTAGACTAGATATTCTTCAAGACACTTTTATACAGCTTAAAGTGACATTTAAAGGCTTAACTAGGTTAATTAGGGTAAAGTTAGGGTAATTAGGCAAGTTATTGTATAATGATGGTTTGTTCTGTAACTATCAAGAAAAAATGAGCTTAAAGGGGCTGATAATATTGACCTTAAAATTGTTTTAAAAAAACTAAAAACTGCTTTTCTAGCCGAAAGAAAAAAACAAGACTTTCCCCAGAAGAAAAAATATTAGCGGACAAACTGTTAAAATTTCCCTGCTCTGTTAAATATCATCAAAGGGAGGCTAATAATTCTGACTAATTGGATTTACATTGTAAGCATTAAATAATAGTAAAAATAATAGTAAAAATGTATTATTTTGATTTAATATATTATGATACTCCTAAAATCATTCTGCATAAATTCGCTGATTTAAAAATTTTTTTTTTTACAAAAGTCTTCACAAAAACAGTAAAAAATGTCCGCAGATTCTGTCTGGCCCTAGTTATGAGTCAGTAGTTAACAGCATGAACTGTAACATAAACTGAAGTGTTACAGAATAATCATTCATTATTATTCACCTTAAAGACTTTCTTTATTCCATGAAATATATAATTGTGTTCATTTAGCATTGAATTATAGGCTTCAAGCAACAAAGAAATAAATCAATTAAAAAGAACAAAATCAACAGGAAAGTAAACAATCAACAGGAGGATTTAATATTATACACTATCAAGATTTTGGGCATCACGGTGGCTCAGTGGTCAGCACTGTGGCCTCACAGCAAGAAAGTCACTAGTTCGAGTCTCGGCTGGATCAGTTGGCATTTCTGTGTGGACTTTGCATGTTCTCTCCGTGTTGGCGTGGGTGTCCTCCGGGTGCTCCGGTTTCCCCCACAGTCCAAACACATGCGCTATAGGGGAATTGAATCAACTAAATTGGCTGTAGTGTATGAGTGTGTGTGTGTGTGTGTGTGTGTGTGAATGAGTGTTTTCCAGTACTGGTTGCAGCTGGAAGGGCATCCACTTTGTAAATCATATGCTGGATAAGTTGGCGGTTCATTCCGCTGTGGCGACCCCTGATAAATAAAGGGACTAAGCAGAAGGAAAATATCTCTGTATCATTAGTGTAAACCTAAATCCCTTCCCAGCTGTCCAACAAGTTGCATCGTCATGTGTTATCCAGCCTGATCTCACGAGAAAACCTAAGTATATTACGTTTTGCCAGTTTAGTGGCTAATTCGTACAAATTCGTACGAGTTCAGTTGTACGAAATTGTACAATTTTAAAAAGGAGGCGTGGCACCTAACCCCACCCCTAAACCCAACCTTCATTGGGGGATGAGCAAGTCGTACTAAATTGAACGAATTAGATCGTACGAAATCATACGAATTAGCCACTAAAACAAAAAGTTATGAATTGCCGTGAGATTGTGTTGGTGTTATCATATACATTCAATCATTTTTCTTTTTGGCTTAGTCCCTTTATTAATCTGGGGTCACCACAGCGGAATGAACCGACAACTTATCCAGCATATGATCGCAGTGAACGCCCTACCAGCCGCAGCCCAACACTGAGAAACACCCGTTCACTCTTGCATTCACACACATACACTATTGACAATTTAGCTCAAACCAGTGACCTTCTTGCTGTGAGCCGATCGTGCTACCCACTGCGCCACCGTAATGCCCCATTCACACAGGGCTTCATTGTCAACGTTTGATTGAAGGTGTGTCTGAAGTTGGGGCTGACGTGATCGTTATAGAAGCGTCAGCCAATGAAATTTAGTCAGCAATAGGCCACTGTCTAGCTGTAGTATTTGCATACAGTGATCTGATTGGCTGACGCTTCCATTGGCGCTTGAGAAGTTGAGCTAGTCCCAACTTCTGTAGCGAGCAACGCCTCTGAAGCAACGCCGACGGATCCACAATGCAGTTCGGCATTGCCTGATGTCACCCATTCAAAGTGAATGGAAAGCGTTGACGCCCTGTGTGAATGGGGCGTAACGCTTATCATATTCAAATGAAAGTGAATACAATTCTGAATTATTTAGATGCCTTTTCACATTTGTTGTTAACAAAATGCAAGCAACTTCGCACAAACACAAAGACAATAAAGCACACGTCCATCCGTCCTGTTTTTTCTTTCTTTATTCATTTTGTCTCAATAGATTTTACACTATTTTTCTGGAACCAAAAACATTTGACTATATGACATAAAATAGCACATAATATATATGCACAAATAAAACATTTAAAATGGTTACATGAAAACTAATATCATCCAAAGAGGGCTTGGTTTATCATTTTTCTTCTGGTATATCTCTTGTGAATGTGTGTGTATGTGTGTGTGTGTATGGATGGGCTACTGCATTACTGATGGAAGTCAAGCAGAACAGCGTAAAATCCCACAATCCCCCAGCGAACGCCGTGGCGTTTCGTCACAATCAGGAAAGAGCATTGAAAAAGCATCAACACCACCGGGCCTCTCAGTGACAATGCTTTAAAATAATAATAATAATCATCATACAAAAACTCTTACATGTCTTATAGTTATAGGTATAGAATAGTCATATATATATATAAATGGAGGTGAGACCTGTTGACACCCTAGTACATATTAATAGCTCTGAAACACAAAAGCTTATAAACGATGGACTAAAGGTAAGGCAAAGTGTTTGGATACGCTGTGTCTGCTCAGTTTATCAACTGATTCCAAAGTGCTTTTTCACCATCAGTCAACTAGAGTTTATTTAGTCTCTCTCTCTCTCTATTCTCATAGGGTGTTAGAAATCCCAAATCCAGGACAATCGTTACTTTAATCACATGTGCAGATATCTTTTTTTAATTATTTCCTATAGTGTAGACAGAAACATTCAATATATTTAAATTTTTTTTTTGTAACTTTTCTCAGGTTAAATTGAAAATAAGTTCTTAAATTTGACATAAAATACCATGCAAGATGCGTACTGAATATTGAGTTCTGGTTAAACGAAAGCAATTAGAAACAACCGTCATTGATTTGTGTTGTTGCCATACCATATTCATTGTGCATCGGTTTGAAATGAACATCCTACAGTTACATGAAATCAAAGTGCAACTCGTTTATTTGTTGAACAAACCAGGACAACTTTCATAAATAATATATATATATATATATATAGTTATATATATAGATATAAAAAAAAGTACTTGAGATCCTTTGTCAATCTAAAAGGGGGCACCGAACACTAGTAGTTTCTTAAGTTACGTCACGCTATTGTAACTGGTGAGTATTTACTACTATCTTAAATGTTACACCGATAAGGAGGCCATTAAATGCTACCGAAAAATCTCTTGGTAATATAATCTTGACATAAAATAGGAAATGTTCCAATATCTGCTTTACAATCTAACGTTTTACAGTGCTCTAGGAAAAAAACAAATCAAATCAAATCAAAGAACGAACGAAAGAATCAACTTAACAATTACGTCATTTACAAAAATACCAAAATTTAGTATCCGCAACTTTAGGTTGCCACAGCAACAACTTAATATTATTAAGAAAGAACTATCATACTACGGAAAATTGTGTTTATTTTTTTATGTGTTTATTTTTTTTTTGTGTTTTGTTTTTATGCTTTTTTTTTTTGGTAAAACATTACCTATACAATAAACATTTGTACATAACACAAGCAGTTCTATAGCCTCGCTTGCGCTACAACGCGACGTCCCGAATGAGAGATCTCCTGATTTTGGCCGAAGCCGCCGTCTTCGTGGACAAACGCGCATAGCTAAGCCCGGCTTAATAAATTACATTCATTTTTAAAATAGGTTACACCATTGTTCTGTGTTCTAGTATTCAACAAAACGAAAAATAGGATGAACAGAATATGACGATAAAAATATTTAAATCACGTTCCACTTCAAAAATTACATTAAAACTGTAACTTTTGCCCCAACACAAGGTGAATTTAAAGAGAAAATGCTAAGACCAGTGCCGTTTTTTTCCTGCCAAGCCAAACCAAACGTCTCTTAGTGGATTGTCTGTGTTTATCGAGCACCATGAAAACACATGATGGTTCTGATTGGATCGCGAACACACTCCATGCATTCATGCACGCACAAACACACGCCCATCAGAAATCAGGGAGGATGAGAAGGCCGTGTGCACTTATTCCAGGTTAAAACAACGTGTAAATAATAATAATAATACAAACTAAACTGTTAGATGTTATATAGTAAGAAAACGACAGATGAGTTGTTAACGATTCAACAACAAAACTGCTTAGGAACACACCGCTATGACAGTCCAAATTCAAAACGTCACACGTTACAGACATTGAGCTCACCCTGACGAAGTTTCCTTACATTTCCACTGTCCACGACTAACATTCTGCCTTTCCGATTTCTAGCAACATCGATGTTGTGTAATGAAACAGACAGTGATGTGCATGAAATGCTCTTTTGTGTGTGTGTGTGTCTCTTTTCTAGCCGAGATCCTTTCGGGAGCTTTGTTTTTGTGTTTTACAACCCCCAACCCTACATAAAGTCATCTTCTCAAGATGCTCGCTGTGTAAAATATATATTTTAGGCACTTCTACTGTTTATCAAATAAAACAGGATTATCGGCGAGAGCGTAGCGCCCTCCATTCAGAACATGTCAAAGATCGTCTACTGCAACGTTTCGCGCCTCCTCCTTCCAATCGTCGCATTATCCACTCACTGGGCACCATGTGATCAGGACCACGAGGTCCTGTACAAATTGGAGAAGTCCGTTTCAGAGTATGAGTCTTTTTTTTTTTACAGCAGCTCTCCAGTTTAATGTAAGCCCTTGGCACGGGATAGAAGCCAGAGTCGACTCCCTGATGGCCAGTGTTTCCACAGACACATCGAATTCATTCACCGTCCATTTAAAAACAAAAGAAAAGCAGTCCTTTAGCAGAGAGACGCAGACAAAAACGTGTTTGCATGGCACGTGGTTTGCCACATTCGCACTTCTGACACTGACTGTTTTGAGCTTGGTGTCGGTTGTAAACCTTTCTTTGGCCGATGAAGAACAGCGAATCCAATCGTTCCCGCTTCGGCTCAAGTCCAAGGAGGAGGAACTCGAGGAAGTTTTTAACAATTTTTTTGACCAGTAGACAATCTTCTGTTTGTCCGCCATGTGACATTCGGTGTTGGTTTTGAGTATTGAAGAGAAATTAAAAAAAGAAAACTCAAGCGATCCCTCTTTCCCCTATCCGGAGGGTGCATGGGGATGTTTAAGACAAACTCTTCAGGAGACGTCCTCCCGTTCAAGACAATCAAGCACTTAATATTAAGCACTATTTCTGACAGTGCAAACCAAGTGTGTGTGTGTGTGTGTGTATATATATATATATATATATATATATATATATATATGTGTGTGTGTTTTGTCGCCCACTCATTGTGCATTTCATTTCAAACATGGGAGAAAAATACACATTATCTGACAGGTGACCGATCATTCAGATGAAGCTCACTTATACCTCTATGAAACGTGCTGTACATTAACATGTTCATCTATACATATATATACATATGTATGTATATATATATATATATATATATTTCTTGTCTCTTTTTTTTTTACATCTTTTAAGTAACCAGTTAAATCACTTTTCTGAGCATAACAGATGTGTGTGTGAGTGTGTGTGTTGTAGTGGCTTGCTATTGTATTTCGCTTTAGCATGCAGGTTGCTGTAGTTCTAAAGGGGAGGGCAGGTCGTATTTACACGGGGATCTTTTTGGGTTTCTCAGAGCAGCTTCCTGACACCCCGTTCCTCTTCGGTGATTTACTTCAAGATGATCTGCACAAACAAACAAACAAACACAGAACAGCATCCTGATATTAGTGAAGGTGCACTGGACATCACGCTTGATCTTAAGTACTCTGATTAACATCCTACATGGCATCTTCATGGAGTAACGCTGTTTGTGTAGATCGAGATGATGCCGATACGACATGAGCGAGGGATGTGCATGCTATTTATTGTTAATGTAGTGATTATGAGCTTGTTCTTTGTATTTTAGTGACTCAAAAACTCCAAGATTGACTGTTTAGTCTTCTCAGGTGGAAGGAAGCAAAGGATGCACAGATAGTAGGCATGCTTTTAGCATAGTTTGTATTAGAAAGAGCTCAAAAGATTATAAGTACTCCCAAAAATATTGCAAAAACACTATAATTAAAAAATAACCTTTTCTATTATATATATATATATATATATATATATATATATATATATATATATATATATATATATATATATATATATATGATGCAATGTTGAATTTCATGTTCTCATTATGTCTTCAGTGTAATATTATCCTTAAGAAATCATTCTAATATGATAATTTGCTGCTTAAATTAATATTTATATTAAAAACAGTTGTACTGCTCTATATTTTGTCTAAAATTATTAGATTTTTCTGGATTTGCTGATAAACAGATGCCAAATGAACAGCATTTATTTTAATTAAAATATTTTGACATCGTAAACATTTTCACAGTATCTTTAAATAATTTTAATGCACACTAATGCATAAAATAATTATTTTATGTACTTAATTATTAATAATACATTATTATTAAATTATTTTAATTGTCACGATCACCAGCGATCTAACCTTCATATATCGCTAGAGAACATTCACATTTACACGGACTACAATACTGTCTCAATATGAACTACAAGTCCTGTCATGCACTACACACACACACCTGCTTCAAGTCTCCATTGATTACACTCACACAGCTGATGCTGCTCTAGAACTGATTGCACACATATATACAGCACACTTTAAGACAATCATTGCTGAGTCTTGTTATGCTGTTACTGTTTACGCGTCGTAATGTTACAAGACTCAGCAAAGTCAGTGTGTTTGTGTGCTGTATAAAGCTGCGGTCACGCTGAACTTTTTTCTTAAATAGACATTCATTCATACGCACACGAATGTGTCAAACTGGCAACGCAAACGAACGCTGCGTTGTAAATTTCAAGCTTGGTGAACTCTGGCCTTCGAAATTGCATCACTTGACTGCTTAAGACCAATCGAGGATCAAAACATGACCTCTCTGGACAGAAATGTGGATCTCTTGCTTTTAAAAATGTCTAATCATCTTGTTTAATCCCGCCCCCTTTCGCAGTGCCATACTACTTTTGCAAGCTCAAACTCGAGTTTGAACGCAGCTTAAATAGTCCTACTAATTAGTTTAGAGCAGCTTCTGCTGTGTGAGTGTAATCAAACTGGATCAGGAACTGCTGTGTGTGTGTGGTGCATGACTGGACCTTATAGCCCATATGATGGCGGATTTGTAGTTCTATGCGGTCTGTGTGTTTACCAGCGATCTGCCAGGATTAGATCGCTGGTGATTGTGACATTAATTCAGTGTGGTCTTAAAATGTCAAACTTTGACAGGCCAATCAATGCATACAAAAAAAGCAATAACAATAAAATATGTGTCTTTTATTCATATAATATCTCCCTCTCGAATTGTGCATATAGTAAGAGTTAAAGCATTTATTAGACATGGGAATCGGCAAGGCCTCGGGTCACGGTGCAATATTTTTGTTGCATTTTTGTGTATTTTTTGCACCGACATCCATCTGTGTTCAGCATCAGCTGTTTATTCTTTAGCATGCATGATGTTGGAAACACCACAAACATCGAAATACATCACCTGCTTATTGAAAGGCCGTTATCAGTGGTTATCAGCTGATAGATATGGGCCAGTAGTGGCCTTCTGTGCCTGCTGGTAGGCTCAAAAGCCTGTTATCATCCATCCACATGGTTAATCAGCTATACTAATAGAGAAGACTCAATATCCATATCTGTTTTTACATTACTGTGATGGTTGGGTTTAGGGTAGGCGTTAATAAAATACAATTAATGGGAAATTTAATAAATAATATAAATAATTATTGTTAACTTCTGACCACAGCTGTCATCTACAGCTGATTAACCATGTAAATGGATGATAACAGCCTCCTGAGCCTATTAGTAGGTGAGAAAGCGCCTACTGTCCCTTATTTATCAGCTGATAACCACTTATAACACCCATTCAATCGAGCTATAACATTCGAATCGGCTAATTACATCACAAAACATAATAAAAGCTATTGATAAACACTAATATTTGATGACACATCTGATCTAGTCTCCAAATTAGATTTCTTTAGGATCCAAAGCATTTAAAAAGGCTTATTAAAGTAGCCCAAGCCAAACAGTAGAAGCGCAATATCAGTCAGTCAGTCAGTGAATGTGTGACGTTACTATCAAACATTTTGCGTGTTGTGAGCAGAGCTGAGCTGAGGGCGAGTGAAGCTTGACAGGCGGCATGATGGCAAAGCAAGGCCAGAGAGGAACACATGCAGGTCACACAGAGCCTGATGACATGATGATAATGTACAGAAATGCGACTGTAGATGTCGTGGAGAATCATGATGTTAAATGTGATGGAAATCAGATGCAGCCACTGTAATTATCAAATGTTTGTAATGCATATTTTGTAGATGTGTCAATGTAAACAGCACATTTTGCTCTCCTTGATGAGCATTTTTTAATCAATTCCCTATTAAATCAAATTATCAATAGCTGATGGGGAAAACAAAAGTAATTTTGGTGTACCGAAAGCAAGTTTGAGTGTAAGACATGCTAAAAAACCATGCTGCTGGCTACTGAATTCAGAATTGATTTAAATATATTTATTAATAAATAATCAAATATACATTTTTATTTTCAGTTATTTTAGTTTTAACATATTTGAATCTGTTTTATTCACTTTAATTATTTGTTTTTATTTTATTTTACTTGTCTTATACTGTTTTCTTGTTTATGTAATGCACTTTGAATTGCCACTGTGTATGAAATGCGATATAGACCATTTCAATGTGGTGATGTCATTGGCCCATGAACATCTCCTGCTT